AAAAAGTTGTGTATCCCTATAATAAGAAAATGTTTCTGAAATATTAAATAGTTGATGTAAAGCTAAATGTGCAGTAGGATAATAAACTCCAGAAAGTAATTCAGTAGCATTGTAAAACACTTCTAAAAATTTAAAAAAATACTCAGCAATCTGCCAATCAGGATCGAAAATTAAAATTTGATCGTTCTTACTGTTTACGTATGTCGTGATAAGCTGTGAATATGGGAAGTGCTGCCTTCAACATTAAATATGTTGAATTCCACCTATGTCTCACGTCAGTTGGAAACTTTCTTGGGCGCATCTAGCTATTCCTGCAATATTGTTTAAATTCTTGGAGCCGAGCTCTAGAACTAGATATGAAGAATAATGATTCTCTAATATTTGTAAGATTAGCAGAGATATGTTCAATTCCTGCCTGAACTACTAAATTAATTATGTGACATGCACACCGTTGATGAAAAATTTTCCCTCCAAATGCCGGTTTCAAACTATGTTTAAACAGATTAATTGCAGCTGTATTAGCTGACGCATTATCAAAAGTAATTGTTAAAACTTTATCTTCTATCCCATAAAACCCAAAAATTTCCATTATTGTACTGAAAATAGTTGTTGCGTTATAAGGATATGGACATAAACGAAAACCAATTATTCTTTTTTGTAAAACCCAATCGTCATCAACGTAGTGCGCTGTGACACATAAATATCTAGTTTTATTACACCCCTCCCACAGATCAGAAGTGCAAGACACAGTAGCATTAAAAGTCCTAAAATTATCAACAAGAGATTGTCTCATTGCATAAAAAACTTTCATGCAATCAGAACGAGTTGTGTTTCTGCTTACCCGTTTAAATTGTGGGCAAAAGGTGTCTGGATGAATTCTTCGAAGGACGCATCATTTGCAAAAGAAAGAGGCAATTCGGTACTAGCTAAAAATTTAGCTAGTGCCTCACGAGCACGTTGTGCATCGTACGTAAAATTTTGTAACTCATGTGATGTGAGTGATAGTGTTTGTTGGCCGGAGTCCACACTCCCACCTTGGTGCAACGGTAGATATATTTTCCAATGTCTATCCAGATGACCAGTACCCCCACCCTTTTTATTAGAAAAGTACTTTTTACAATATTTACATACTGCACGAATTTCCATCTCACCTGTTTTTAGATTTGGTCGGGGCTCCTCGGTGAAATGCTGTCATGCCGGAGAAGTTCGCGGTCTTTTTCCTCTGCTGTGTTCTCCAGCTTCTTCATTGTATACTGAAGCATTATCCACTAGAGCATTTTCTAGTTCAGTGGGGGTGGGGTTAGAAGGCATAATTTCTTCCTCAAAAAATGTCTCCTCACGAAGCTCAGGAAGAGCAGTGAAATCAGGGAAATTTGGTGAGGCCATTTTCTGGAAATTGATAGAACTTGATTGAACTTTGTAAATGAAAGAGCTAGAAAATGAATGAACACGAGAAAAAAGCTTAGAATCAAAATCAAAGAGAGAAGTTGAGAGATAGAATGAGAGTGAGATGAGAAGATGAAAGTGAATTGTTGTGTGGGATTTATGGTGGAATTAAGGGGTATTTATAGGGCATTTTTGGGTGAAAATTCGGTTTATTTCAGTTGGGCCCTTCGTGGGCCCAACGTGCAGCACGTGACGGGAGGCTCGTCACGTGCCGAACGTTG